ATCTATCTATCTATCTATCTATCTATCTATCTATCTATCTATCTATCTATCTATCTATCTATCTATCTATCTATCTATCTATCTATCTACACACACACACATATATATATATATATATATATATATTTGTGAGTGTGCGTGGTTGTTTGTCCTTGTGTGTCTCTGTGTGGCCCTGCGATGGACTGCTGGACCGTCCATGGTGTACCCCGCCTCTTGCCCAGTGACCGTCAGACACTTGGAGAAAATTCTGTTTTTCATTTTTTTCGTTGCTTTTTAATGTTTGTGGAGTTTTTTTATGTTTATGTTCAGATAAAAGGAGCTGTAGTCTAAGAGACTTGTTAAGATTTCCATATTTTCTGCATATAGAAATTTGATATTTCAGTGTCAAATGCTCAGACTCAACTATAAATACAAGGTTTTAAGCGCTGTACATTTAAAGGTTTCAGTACCCTCAAAGTTGAGCCGAAATATGTTACTATTTTAAGTGTCAGAACTTTTAAAATTCTAAACTGCAGAGCTTTTTTTTTTTTAAGGTTGATCATCTTTAAATCTGGTAATTAAACAAGTTGGCCCGCTATATTGAAGTACGGCAAAACTATCTGTGCTCTAATGATGCCCTGCAGATCTGTAACCAGATCAGATCAAAAGTAGAGATTTCAATTGTCAAACTGAGGGTTCTGTGTTTTTTGGGGTATCGTCTGAATGTTGTTGCTTTGAATCTGAGCAGAGCGACAAGTTGAAAGTGTAACGTAAAGTGAGCTTTGCTTACCCTCCCATGCTCGTCGTGCACTCTGTAGACACTGTGCTTATAGACCCGGCCCTGGATCCCAGCCCTGTTTAGCTCCTTGTTTGGAAGGTTATCATAAAAACGGATGTTGTCATCTACTTCTTCCAGCTTGTCAGGGATGTTGGTGTCAAGAGGAATGAGGATGAAGAGCTTCTTGGAGCCGCGACCCCAGAGGGGACTGCTGGCCTGATGCGTGGCACAGAACGCTATGATGGAATCCTCCAAACCTACACAAACATGTGGGAGCTCATTTATTGTCACATCTCTACCAACAGCAGAATTAATTAGATGGTGCATTTTCATGAGTGTGGTAAATGTAACAGTCTGGTAGTTATAAGTTTACATTGCACCGATTTAAAATGCCTTAAAACTTGGCATTCAAATTCAAACGTGAATTAAAAGGACAACTCATGTATGCTTTGTTTGTGTGTTGTTGTTTTCTTTATGTCACTGACATGGCAGCAACAATTGCAGGTAACCCAAGTAGAATGACCAGGCCAGGCCGTGGGCCACGTTCATCTTCCTCGATTCACAGATGTCTGACACCTCCGCCTCCGACAGACCCTGTACACCAACCACAGAAACAGCCAGAGGGATGTAACAACCCTTCCTGTCTGCTCATTATCTTGAAACCCCTACACATTCCAAAGTGTGTCCCAACTGGACGACAGATACATTTTTAAGGTAGAATTTTGAAGCAAAAGCAATAGCAAACCAAAAAGAAGATAGAATGGAATTTACAATGATGCAAAGGAGATCACAGAATAAGTTTGGAAGTGTAACAACATGAGCAGCAGCAGACCAGTCTCCTTCTTACAAAGAGGCAGTCTTTCAAAGCAGATACCAGACTGTCTGTCAATCAATTCTATCTATGGTAAAATTGAAGTTAGATGAATAACACTACTGATCAGGCCACAACTAGAACAGCCAAAAGGAAAACAGCCCCACAAATGTAAAGGGGACATGAATTAAAGAAACATATTCTGGATCTCCTGTTTTTTAGAAACTTTAAGTTGGATGTCCAAAGTCCCAATAGACAATGTTTGGGGCTGCTAAAAAAAAAGTTTTGACTTTCCACTTGGAATTGTGATAACAATCGTGACGGCAGTTGCGTCATTGTTGAAGCCCAATAAATATTTCTGCAAAATAACACTTAAAACCTAAAGGAGAGGGAAACAAAGCAGATTCAGTCTAAAACTGGGTTCAGCACCAGCTGTCTGTGGCTGAAATTCACAAGAAGGAAATGAACATTTCTGACAACAGAATTACCAGTAAAGTCTTCCTTGTTCTTTGATGCATCTCTGTCAAATGGTAATGCCATCCTACGAGGGTTAATAAGTGAAATTTATGTGGAAATTATGTTTGGTTACTTTTATTGTATTTCTATGACCATTACTATTTTCCCTTGACATTTAAATCCTTGCAACACTTTGGTTAGAATGGAAATAGCTGTAAGTGCTTGTGTGTCAAGTAGGAGCCTCACCTGGATCCCAAGACTTTTTAGGACTGTGTAGAGAACAGGAACCAGGACAAAAAGTTGCCACTGATCTTTGAGTGGCAGAGTGTGTCTAGTGAGGTGCAGCAAGAGGGCTGCCAGCCCTGCGGTCAGCAGGTTCCTGCCCCACAAACCACAGGCTGGCAGCATTTTGGCGAGTGCTCGGCCTTGATACCTGAAAACCAGACAGGGAGCAGGAGGAGTCTGTATAATTTATAGTGGCATCCCCATCAGCAACAAAGCCATCACATTCAAATTAAGTTACTGTACTCATGTAAATGTACCTGAACAAAAATTTACTCCTGTTTATATGAGGGTTTGCCAGTAAATAACTGGCCACCTCGAAAAACCATTAAGGAAAAAAAAACGTAATGCCAAGAACAGGCTTACTGTCAACTAAAACAGTTGTTTTCTACAAAGGAAATAAAACCTTTTTTTTTCTCAACAATTTAATTAGGGCAGCAAAAGTCACAGCCCTTGGCACTCACCTGTTTGAGTGGTGCACCATCTCCTCTACCAGCAGACAAAGTCCATGTACCAGAGGGCCAAGAGTCACAATCAGCAGTGCCATCGCGACCCAGCCCAATAACCCCTGCTGTGACAGAAGCACGACAATTCCTAATGCCACGGCGGCCAGCACAACAGCGCACACCTTCGGCAGATTCCCGCGAGGCTGAGGGATAAGAGCGTCTCGATCTCGGAGGGACTCCATCTGCAAGGGAACAGTCAGCGCTCACATGAAGCCAAAGGTAAAGATCTTTGTGGATGTAATCAAGGCTCAACTAGAGGAAAACTAAGGCTAACTTTTAATTTATCTTATACATTGTCGACCCTCTATATCTCTCACTTTAAATATATTTTCTGTGCTTGATCTTTCCGAGTCTAATTTTACAGCCTCACCTGTAGGATATACTCTTAATCCAGCAAAGAATCAATACCCTGTGTCATCAACAAGGAGTTGTAGAGTACGAGTACTTATGAGAGTACTTTTCTCTTCTTGTCGTGTACTTCACCACTGGTGTAGGCATGAACTAATCTTAACCTCCTTTCCTGGCTTTTTCTTTCAAAATGCTGCACTAAATTGCCATGTGAGTTTGACACAACTCCACCATTTCATTAATGCAAATCTCATCTCATTTAACAGTGAGCTGTACTTTGATGAGTGTGTTGTTCTGTTCCACGGCTGTCAGATGGTGAAAGTGAGAAAGCGGCTGTCATTAATCCCTCTGTTTTACTATGAATTAAAATCAAATAAAAAGCTATATAGCTATTAGCAAAAATATATAAGGTGTCCCAAAGCCATGGAAAGGGGAAAGTGCTGTATTACAGATGTCCCCAGTTTTCTCTCTTTATTTCTTACTCCACTTTACGTAACAGGCAAGCCATGTGCTAATTGTGTAACACCACTGGAAATATATTATTAGATGACAAAATAGCAGAAAGTGTCTGCAAAGACTCACCTTGATGTGTTTTCTCAGAGAGATCAACGAAAGATTTCCTTTGTCTACTGATTTATCTCTGCCTCCTTAGCTGCCTCCGCCTCTTTTGACGAAACACTTTCAGTTTCGGTTTTCTATGCTCATGGCTAATTCAAGTGAAATACAAAAGGTGATGTCAAGGAAAGGTGATCAATTATTAATCATTTGTATAATGAAATGGAAAAAAAGAACATTCCACAGCTCCCTAATCCAGTCATTTTATTGAAGTGTGTCACAGAGCACAGGCTGTGCATGGCCTTAGCTTTCCCCCCTTCCTCTGAGTTATGTATCCCGTTTTTTCCAGTAAACATGCCTTTGTGTCTTACCACTGGGAGTGCCGCTCAGCCCCTCCTCCTCATTGCAACACGCAGCTCACCTGTTCCTCAGACGCTTTCGCAGGGTTACTGATGCCGAAAGTTAACTATGGTGTTGTTTCTTCGTCCCTTAAAATGACCAGCTCAGCCTGTTTCAACAAACCACAAACCCTTCCCATCTACACAGGAATTTTGGTTGAATTATTTTAAGTATAAATCCTGTTCTTCATTCATCTAGTCTTTTCTTCTTTTTTTAAGTGAGTTTATGTTCCTCTTTTTGTTTGTCATGAAGCATAAGTGTGCAGATTATTAAATGAGGAAGCGTTATTGCAGCTGCAGTTTCCACTTCTTTTCAGAGGCCTGTGTTCTTTCTCACAGATTCAAAGAAATCATTATTGCCAGCATCCCTTAGAGTAAACTATTATGGTGACTATTTATTTTCATTGAATTTAGCTGCTATGGTCCACGGTTGTTTTTATCAGTTTGTGGTGAACAACTAACCCAGGAAATGCTTTACATTTCACTTATTTTACACCTAATTTTTGACCTGGCGCAGTTATAGAAGTCAAGTGTTGAACATAGAAAACATCATCATGTTCTTACTTTATTAAAGTGAATAGTTGCTTGTTCAATGAGCTTGTGAATGCACAAATTTGCATATGTGTAAAAGGGAACAGCCAGGCACTCAGTGTTTTAACCACACCCATGACCTTGTTCTGGTTTATGGTATTGAAATTTAACATTGGTCCGTCTTAATTGGACCACTGTTTGCTGACTTGACTTTTGAGCTTTACTGCTGAATAACCCTCCACTGGGTAAAAATGTCTACTCAAGATGCCTGTCTGATAGTGCTATAGCTAAATTTAAGGATGTGATTCCATCAGCTCTAAATCCATTATCAGGTCATACAGAAACAGAGGACTCTTATGTTAATTTTAGTACTTCCCAAGTTGATCATCTTGTTGATAGTGTTGAAGGCTCGCTGCGAGAGAGTGGCTGGCTGCTTCACCTATACGTCCAGCTTGTGAACGTGTGCCTCCAATCATGTGCACAAAGGACCATGTGACCATGTAAACAAACATACAGAGTAACTGAGGAGAAAATCCACATTGTTAAGTTGTTGTAGCAACACATTAAACATTGAGAAAAAGGCTGTGGGTGGAGTAACTTGAATACTGAACTACATTTAGCTGCCTGAAATGAAATGACAGCAAATACAGTTTTTCAGCACAAAGTAACAGGTGCCCCTTTAAAGCAGGGCATTACTGGCTTTATTAAGTCTGAGAGGACTGGAAAATTTAATCTGTAAGAAAATGTGTTCAGTGTAAAGTTGAAAAACAAATAGAATGACGTTTAAATTCAGAGTTTAATGGGAGAACTCGAGGCGCTCGGAAGCTTCATGCTACGAAATGTGTAAGACTCAACCAAACAAATGTGGGATTTTTTAGCCAATTTCCAGAATTGAAATGCACTAACTGAGGCCAGGTCTTGTCAAAACTTCAAGCAGCGCGTGCTAGTGCACACAGCGTCGATGAGCGGGAGCTGGTGAAAACTAAACAAACTGTTGGTGCTGAGATGCAGTGAAAGGATCACTGTGTTCTCCCAGATTCCAACAGCCGTGTTTAAAATAAAACATTATTGCAGCTGGGACTTTTTATTGGTCTTCCTGTGACCCTCCCTTTAATTGAACGCTAAGTCTCACTTGACAAAATCGACAGCATGTTTTAATCAAAGACGGCATTTAGGCACAAAGTGGGCTTCTCAACGTCGTCCGTCACCATCAGTACTCTATTCATTTGACAGTGTATGGCTTCTAATTTCCACGTAATGTTTAAATGTTTTTCTGGGACATGTGGCCACAGATAGTGGAAAAGCAGGGTTTTCCTGTGTACTTGGGTTAAGCTGACTCAGGCCAAAGATGGCCTGTTCACCTGTGAAGTGGGTAAGGATGTAATCCTTGTCTCTTAAAACCTGTGTTCTAGAAGGAAACGGCACCCAACAAAAAAGCTTCATCTCCAAGCTATCAATCAGGACAGAAGAGTGCCAAGTTAAGAGCAGGGCGTCGTAAAGTGGCCGGCTAAAGACGGTTCAGAGCCGAGTGTTGCAATTAAGTGTAGGTTCCAGTTTGGGTCCAGGAGGCAGACACCGTCTCTATATTTAAGAGTAGGCTTAATACTTTCCTTTATGATAGGGCGTATAGTTAGGGTAAGTCCACCCCTAGTTATGCTAGTTATGTTGCTATAGGCCTAGACTGCCAGTGGATTTCCCATGATGCACCGAGCTCCCCTCTCCTTTCTCTCTGTCTATCCCAGTGCAACCTTATTGCATTACCGCATGTTACTAACTGGACTTTCTCCACTTTTCCGTAGTCGTGTACTTTCTCGTCCCCCTCCTCTCTCCTCTCTCCTCCTATCACTTTCTGCAGATATTCCTGGCTCTGAAGCTGTGGGGTCTGGATCTGATGTTGGGAGTCTCCTCCTATCACTTCAGGTGTTCCTAGAGCTGTGGAAGTTGGATCTGTGATTGTCCCCATGTCCATGCTCTGCTGCAATTACTGCCACTGTTTATAGTCTTATTGCTATCATTACTGCTATCATTATCATTAGTATAACAATCATTGCCGTTTTTCATCCAGTCTATGTGTTACTGTGTAGGCTGCCTCTCTCTGCTCCTTCTGTCCTTCTCTCGCTCTCTCTCTCTTGCCCTCTCTTTCCCTCACCCCCAACCGGCGAGGCAGATGGCCGCCCACCCTGAGCCATGGTTTTGCTTGAGGTTTCTGCCTGTTAAAAGGAAGTTTTTCCTTGCCTGTGTCGCCTAGTGCTTGCTCTTGGTGAGAATTGTTGGGCTTCTGTAAATAACTTCAGAGTAAGGTCTGACCTGCTCTGTTTGGAAAGCGCTGTGAGAAAACTGTTGTTGTGATGTGGCGCTATATAAATAAAATTTAATTGAATTGAATTGAACAGGAGCAAAGTCCAAGAAAATGGAAACAAATTGTTGAAATGTCACAGCCACCCCATCAAAGTTCCAAAATAAGTTTGACAGTGTACCAACTGCTTATCTCACACAACAATATCACAACAACTCAAAGAAAAAAAATCAGATATGAAAAGGAGTAATTTTAATATTTAATGAAGAAAACTATTTTAACTAAAAACAAGAGAGAATTGACTCTCTGCAAATTATATTTCATGTTTCCTCTAATGGTTCTCAATAAAAAGAAAAAGCATTTTCGTTTTTTTCCATTCAACTCTCACTTTCATTTTGATTCTCAAATTTCCTCTTAAAATGACATTCCATCACATGGAACTCTTCCCGCAAGTACTTCAACCACATGACCAAAATTAACCCCAGACAAAAAAGTGTGTATGTGTATGAAATAAGCATGTGGTAGGTTCTCAGTCTTCAGTGCACATAACTGGAAGCTCTTACTATTTGAGTCCCACCCCTCATTTTTGGGGTTGGGGATCCAAACAGGGGAGAGTTTAATCTTAGAGGTCATGGAGGAATTTTGAGGCTGTCATTTGAAAAACTCCTATCTATAAATTCACCAAATTTACTGAAACGACTTGGGAAACCTTTTTGTGATCTCTTGAACTTTAATCAGTAACTGCTCCTTCTTCATAGCAGTTCATGATCTGAACCATGCGCCACATCCCAGATTTAACCGTTTTATTACCGGTCCAGTGAAAATTCATTCTTTGCATTGCATTAGTTTCCGGTTCAAAATTGTGTGTGGGTGTCCTAAAATAAAGGCTAAGTATTCATGCCAAAGGTTCATGCATATTTTATTCAAGAGTAAAAAAAGTGGATCGTCCCATGGGGCATGCTTACAGTGTTAGTGACTGGGGAGTCAAACATAGAGGGAGGAGAGAAAGAGAGGGAAAGAGAGAAATAGAGAGAAAGAAAGAGAGAAAGAAAGCGCCGTGGCACAATTTCTATGGCACAGGGTCTCCCAGAGGGGGTTCACCTTTCCCAAAGAAGCACAAGATCAACCAAGGAGCAACAGAACATGAAGAGCAACCAGCAGAAAGAGAGAGCTTAAATATTAAAAATAATGTCCATAATAAATAGAATCATAATAATCATAGAATCATAAATATCAGTTAACAAGAGGAATCATCAAGAATCATGATCAGAGAGAATACACTTTTTTTTCTTTAAATTGTGACGGCGACACACCGGCTCTTCTGGTAAGCTGTGTCTGCGCTTTTTGCTTTGAACAGCGCAAATTTGAACCATGCAATCATGCTTTTGGCTGCCTGAATGCCTGTGCCTTTTGTATATAGTATGGTCATTCATCAATGCTAGTTTTAATATTCGTTTTTACCGTAATTCATAATCATCATTTAAAAAACAACTCCTGTACATAGACAAAGAAGAGAGGAGAGAACGTGGACTCGACACTTTGAATAGAAGCGTACTTATCATTCTGTACAGCGTGAAAAGTAACTGAAGGACATGGTCCCTGGACAAAGAAAAAAAACAAACAGGGAGATTGGAGGTGAAAGTTGGAAAAAAAGAAGATGAAAATCAATCAAGCAATATAACACTAAATGAATAGAAAAAATAAATTAAATCAACATTATGTACAAAATAAATGATTCATTATACCTCAGTTCTTTTATACTAGCCAGAAAAACAAGAAGAAAAAAGTTTCTACCATAGTGAAACACAGAGCACAAATATAATCTTCACATTATTATCAAAGAACTTAACTTTGCATGCACTGATGCATTAATATAAATGCTTTACAAAGACCTTTTTCTTTTGACTTCTTCTTGTTGTCTTTGCTCCTTCCTTCAACCAGAAGAGTCTGTTTCCTCTGGGAAATACCATTTCCTGCTTTATAGACCAGAAATTCCCGGTCATCGTTGCTTTTATTTGTATTTTTTGGGGGGTTGCAGACAGCAACGCAGGAAGAAAACAGGATGTAGAAAGAGAATGAAGAGCATGACTTCACATTTGAACTCCCTCACATGGAATAAAGCATCATACTTCCACTATACTGCATCTTGCATCCTGTGACCTTATGTGTCAGATGTGCAATAAAACCTCTCTATGTATCCTATTTACACACAACAGGACGGTGGGGTGGAGGGACTTCTCACTTATTATCCAGGCCCTTTCCCACAAGCTGACTGGCCAGGAGCTTAAGTTTTGGACAGGAATGGGGTCCTCTGTTTGGCTTCAAATGGAGACTGTGTGCAGTGTAGTGCTACAAAAGCAAACAGGAATACGCTCCCCAGAAGAAAATGCCAGAGAGATCAGATTGGACTCCACCTGGAATAATCTCCCACATCTCTTCTGACACATTAGCCGCTCAGCCTTGCACCAAAAAGTTGACTGCTTGTGTTCAGAACCAAAAACACTTGTCAAATATAACTGCACAGACACAGGACACTTTGAAGCATGTGCAGGCGCGCCACATGCAGGCATTCCAACCACTCTTTTAAAAAGCAACCTAAGTTTAATTTCAACTCCCAGTGCTGTGATGCCACCAGGAGAGAGGAGCACATATACATAGTGCTTTAAATGCTTTGGGCCCCTGAAAGCCTCCTCACGCTTCACCCCATCCTAAACAGCAGACACGCACACACACACACACCCCACACACACAAAAAAATCATGCCGACCCCCTCAACCCCGGTGTGTGCGATCTCCATCACACACCCGATGAAAAGTAGCGCTCCTTTTTTGGCATAGAGGCGCGTTTTGGGAGTTTCTCTCCTGTCATTGCGCAGGTACATGGGAGTTGTAGTTCTCAAGAATACGGCCAATCAGTTCAGTTTACCGGCCTTTGGTTGTAAAGTCCATGCCTTTAAATGACAACAGGAAGGGGGGGGTTAGATAACGGTGTTTGGCTGTGTGTGAATGTAATGTCTTTTACGTGTGTGTTTTTATATGTGATGCATTTCTCTTGTGTATATATGCTTATGTACACGTATCTATAAATATGGTACCGTATCGTTGTTGTAACTGCATGTATGTGTCTGGAGCATGTGAGAGTGCTATGTCCCATCACTGTATATTGCTGTTACTGTCTGTCCCATTGGGCTCTCCCATGTTCATGCGGCCCATCGACAGGCCCACACTATTGACGGCGTCGCGTCGGGGCGGCATCCTTTCATTGATCCGGTCAAGACCTTTGGCCTCTTCGAAACTGCTGATCCGGTGCTGCGGAGAGAAGCCTCGGATGGCTGTGGAGACATTCGTGCAGACACACACATGCAAACACACGCTGAATTAGTAGTTGACAAAACATCCAGTAGAATCTTGCCTATCCAAACCTTTTAAAGGCTCCGCGGATGATTTTCAGAGCACCAAAATAGACCGAAATTCTAAACCGTCTTTGATCATTCATCAGACGTGGATGTATTTTTCTACATAATTCATTCAGATTTTCCTTTTTGATCGCTTTCAATTGAGCAAGCGGTTAATTTGGTTACCGATTCTGCCATCTTTAGCGGAGGGTCACTTTGCGTTTGAATAAACAAAGTTCCGTTGTGTAATTCTATCTGCATGGTTAGCCTGACCACTGACCAGGCCAGGACGAGTCTGACCTGCACTCACAGCAGGTGTCACATTCGGTATGAGGCAGCCATTGATTCTAGATCAGTTTTCTGAGACTAGATAAAATGGAAGGACAGACAGAAGCCGCACAGAAGCGGCGGTTTCTAAGGCCTTAGAACCTTTTCATTCAGTGTTCTGAGAGTTAAATTTTGGTTCGAAAGACACAACAATTTGATCAAATGTTGGGATCTATACATAATGATGCAAAGCTAAAGACAAAATTCCAGGCTTTAAATTGAACTTTTATTTTATTTTTTTCAGGTGGGTTGAACCGAAACTTGCCCAAGATTTTACCATGGCAGTGGCTTTTGTGGTGGATATTTACGATTGCAAAGCCTTTGAAAAATGAGCATAGTTGTGGATTTGTTGTGGATTTTGGGAAATGTTTGATTTTATGGTTACATTGAATCACTGGAGTGCCCCTTTTATATTCTATTCAGAAGTAACTCAGATGAAGAAGACACTCTTAAATTATGTCTTTAAAAAAGGTGAATGACACAAATAAGAATTAAATAGGTGCAGTTTTAAAATTCAGATGGGGTTTCTGGGGTTGGTGAATTATCTCAGACCAACAGGGAGCTCGGTCTGGTCCCGTTAATTCTGCAGCCATTCGCGGAAATAATAAAAAGTCCACTGCCGATGTCTTCCAATGGCTATAAATCGTATCACATAACAGCATCAGGATAAGGCAAGGGATACCCATAATTTATTTGTTTGAACAAATTATGGACTGCACTGTTGGTGCAAAGACAGCACTGAACACACAGCACTACAGTTGTAACTAAAGCGTGCAGACAAATCTGTATACACAGGATAGACTACATATCAAATACAAAGGAACATGACAACAATCTGTTCGTTAGCACAGAAGAACCCAACAGAGCTTAGTTTGACATCCCGTGTATATACAAGTCTGAAGTCTGGGAATATCTGCAACACCCAACGTCAACTTTTCAGAGGTGTTTCAAACACGTTCACTGGGCTTCTTCAGCAAACGGCCTGTTATCACCAGACCCAAGCTCTGATCTGATGTCGTGGTCGCTTGTCCGCGCCAGATTTTGCATCAGAACTTCAGCTTTTTTTTTACCGTCTGCTGAAGAAGACAGAAAGCACTCTGAGAAGCTGAGTTTTTTCTGCAGTAATTGTTAAGGGGTCTGGCGAGGAACAAACGTACACAGGTGTCCCCTGTGCACATTAAGCGCTCGTCCTGCCACAGTGTGTCTAGAAACAGATTGATTGCATGTCCCTGACTACAGAGCAACAGCACTTTTACAAAACATAAAGAAAAGACTGGAACACAACGCTGTCTTTAGGGAAAACATTTGGGTAAACACCCCTTTCCCACACCCACTCCCACCCACAGCCCCGCTCTTCCTCTATGTGTACATACATGTGCGTAGAGGAAATGCAATTATGGATGTTTGTTGCATTTGAACATGGTCTGAATGAAGGTTTATGCGTGTGCAGGCAAGTCATTGTATGTTTTTTTGCTTCGTGTCTCCTAAGTGAAGGACAGAGAAAAGTCTGATCATGTTTGCTTGTGTGGTGGCCTCGGCGGGAAAGCTGATTTCAGCTTTGACTTGAGCGCTGATGCGGTTAGAAGAGCTTGGTGCATTGTGGGTAAAGAAAACCATGACCTCATGAGCATGGTGGCTGAAACGCAGCCATGCCATACACACTCCCACAAACACACACGCACGCACAATGAAATGAGAGTGATTTTACCTTCAGCATCCTTAACTGTCTCGATTGCTTCAATGGCCTCAATGGTAGCTGAAGGATGAGCAAAAGAAGAGAAGGAAGGGAGGGCAGGAGGAGAGAAGAAGACAGAGTCCAAGAGAGAAGATGAAGTACAAAGAAAAGAGGAAGGGAAGGAAAAACGAAGTGAAGGCTGAAACATGCTTCTGTGCAGATAGGCGTAGACATCTTTGCCTTAGAATGCAAAGAAGGAGTGTAGGATTGACCACATCTCTCTGTTAAAGGTTGTCAATGAGAAAACTTTAGTCAGTAGCTGGGCAAATTTAAAACCAACAATCTATCTAAAATAAAGGAGAAGAAAAATCTAAAGGATTTCAGACATCTCTGGTCAAGTGTAGATATCAAAACAACCTCCTAAATGAGAAAGGTGGCAGAGTAAAAAAAAACTAAATACAGACTGGGAGCCTTAGATTTAGTACTAAGAATTAAAGCAAACATTTTTTTAGCATTCTGTCAAACATAATTAACTCCATACTTGTAATGTGTCAGACTTGGGAGGGGGGGGGGGCATGTTTCAGGCTTTAAACGTGCAACGCCTTTAGAGCGTTACTGAGATCATGGCAGCTTCAGAGGGCATCTGGTGTTAGCAGCAGCTTGACTCCCACATACACACACACACACACACACACACACACACACACAAGTCCTCTCACTTTTGTCTCAAAGTTTTTACAATACTGCTAACTACTGACTACGGCTCTCAGTGTTTCGCTCTCTTATTCCCTCACACTCGCGCACACAAACACAACCAAGCTGGCTGTTAGTATCCTCAACACTACTGTGGTGAGGTGGAAAGAGTGAGTGAGTGAGTCAGTGAGGCAGAAGGATGGGAGGAGAAAAACAGCAGAAAAAGAGGAGAGAGTGCAGGGAGGAAACCGGAGGATGATGTGAAGCAGGTTTTCCAACTGCCCATATGTTCTTGTGTTTTTTTCCCCATTTTTTCTAAACACGTGTTTCTGGGGGGGCTCTCAGGGCAGACTGTGTTCGCCGTGCGAGTGTGCGGAACACTCACCACTCTGCAGGGTCTGCTTGCCCCCGGAGAGCACGCCGCTAGGCAGCATGCCTGTGGGAGTCAGTCCTTTCAGGGTCAAGACGTTCTCACTCTCCTCCCTGTGAAACATGCAGACACAGTGGCTGTGTAAAGGACGGATGTGTGCGGATGTCAAAAGGGACAGCATTTCATAGAAAAACACACTTCCCTCCCCACTATGCACCTGCAAACAGACAAATCGATGCTTGTGGGTTACAACACAGTTCCTAAAATGCTTAAAACAAAAAAAGGAATGATCAGGTAACTGTTATTTTGGGGGAACTAAAAGAAAAAACACCATTTAAACAGTGCACCATGCAGGTGCACTTACTCCACTTACCGTAGCACAGAGAACATTTTGGCCATCTTCCCGATGGCTCGGATCTTGTTTTTGATCACCTCTTTCCTTGCTGCTGCTGCACTGGCTGTAAAAGACAAGCACAGTCTCATACACAAAAAGAACAAATGTCGACAAAACCCTGTGAATACCAGCATTTCACATTCACCGACTTTTTAGACCAAACTCTACTACTTCATGTGTTTCAGCCTACGTTGAACCTGTTGAAGTTTGTTTTTTATGCGTGTTGCTGTAGCCTAATCCTGGGACAATATAGTATAATAAAGTAAAGTAAAAAGTTCAATTTAAAAAAGAAAAATAAAGTTTGAACTGGCCGTTAAGTGTTTCTCACCATCATAGATCTCATCACCATCATTCATGAGTTCGTCGTCTGAGCAGATACTCAGAACGTTCACCAGCATCTCGGTAACTGTCACAGGGGAACAAGAAGACACACACGTCAGAACACATTAGAATTTTTGGAAATGTATATGTTATCATAGCTGTTATGAAACATAAGAAATGTGTCAAATGAAAAAGTATAACAAGCAAATAAGAAAGGTCAATGTTGACTCCAACGCTAACTCTCCAAGATCAAGTTGTTACCACACGGCATTAAAAAAATATTAATAGTACAAAAGGACATACTATAAGAAAGTGTCCACCCTATACAATAGGTGTTGCATTCAAACACATTTTAGAAGTTGTGGTACGATGGTGCAAACATAAACTGAAAAAAGTGCACTTAGTCTATGTAAAAAAAGCTAAGAAAGCAAACATATTTGTTAATCTGCACTCCATGGCTTGGAAAAAACTTGGGAAAATCTTCCCCATAAAAGAAGACCACTCAACTTCCTGTGCTGCTGTTTCATGTGTTGCTTTGCTGACATACTCAAAATGACACATCATGTTCATAAGACTGATTAGATCTACTTCATATTTGGACCAATTATAATTACACCCGTGCAAGAAAGAGTGAGAAACTCTACATAGAAAAAGGTCACAGAAGATTGTGTTTGGAAAAATACAAAACATAGTCCTGACTTTGAATTTGTCTGACTGTGGATAGTGGTGCTAACATGTACAATTGCATTCTAACATTTTGGCACACTTTTCTGTTTTTAGCACACGTTGAGCACTTTTACCATCCTGTAAAGGTCTTATAAATAAGACATAACAAAGACATATTTAAGTAAGTTAATGTTTTTTTATTGCTTTTGAGCGCAGTGGGAACTGCTCAGTCCCACATTAAGTTTGTAGTCTTGGGTATTTCTCACCTACGGCTCTGATTAGCATTGACCCGGGTCCATACGCAAATTTTCAAAGTGAATGTTGTCCTCGTGGTTCCAAGAACAGGAAAAGCTCTCTTCTTTTACAGTTTGCTACAAACTACACAGTCAGCCAAAGATCAACAGACACCCTTTCATTTCAGACACAAAAATTACATATCTGAATACCGCAGAAAGTCACCGGCAAGGGGCCCTATCTTTTAGGCTATAAAGGAACATCTTGAATGCCGTCATACTCGATCCAGGGCAAGTTTTTTTCAAGTGAACATATATGAAAAAAGACCAAAGTTGTTTGTTTGATTGCTACAACCAGATTAGCAACTTATCTTGTGGTACAAAAGTTACCAACAAGAAGAAAGTTGCAAAAACAAGTTTCCTGTGATGGATAGCTACTTTTACACACATTGTCCCTGTTTCATTTGTCTTCATTTATAAGAAGACTACTTCACCTTTAAATTAATCTTCAAAAGCTCTCTAATTAGACCCTTAACTCTACCTAGACTCTCACTTAGAATAATATATTTTCATTTTAATGTGTATGTTTTTTGTGGTACCCTTTTCCCCAACGAAAGGCAGCGACCACGTGAAGACATCCATGAAGTTGGGCAGCCAGTAGGGGTGTGGAGAACAGTTGAACTGGCGGATGTTCATCACGTTATTCTCATATTTTAACACAGCAGCTATATGCACACCAAACAAAAACACAAGCAGACATTACCATTTTTACATTTATTTAGATAATGCCGACATGACCTAAAGGTTAAAGGAAGATTATTTTAAGTCATGTCAAGTATATGCCAAACAACTGGGAATAACACACTGGTGTAAAAAAAAAAAAAACCTCCAGTGCTTTTTGTGTGTTTAGGAAATCAGTCTGTGTTTTGTGTGTATCAGACCTTTGTTGTTGTAGACATCCAGGTAGTTAGGAGCAGAGAAGATGGTGATGAGGGAGGGGAAACCTGTAGTCTGACTCTTTCTGTACATGCGGTAGCTGAAAAAATAGGCAAGCAAACAAACTGCAGTTACAGCTAACGAGACACTAACAGTGAGGATGACAAGTGTCAATTTTTTTCAACTGGTTTGAGGTTAGATGGACAAACATTTCAAAACAAATAGAAACAGAGCTTGAACAGGCCCCATGTGCCAAAAGATGCGATCAACGCAAAACCTCTGAGTGTATGAATTGTCACCGGTATGTTATCGATCACGCCCTATACTGTATATAAGTGATGATGGTAGCCAAAATACCGCACTTCAAACTTTTTGTTCTTATTTTTCAAGATTTTGCCAGAGCTGTTTCACCACAATGCTCAGTTAGATTAAATTCGAGTTTGATTTTTAAATGAGGTACGTTGTGCAAAGTAAATTGTGCATCCAATTACAGGCCTTTCTTTTTTTATTCAGTTGTACAGTGACTTTTCCTGAATAGGCAAAAAGAGGTCTCAGCAGTGATGAATGAACGCATTGTTATTACATCAGCAACTTTTTTAAGGTGCAGAAGCCTAACCCACAAAAAAAAATTCCTTTAACCCTTTAACTTAAACAACTCGTCTGCATGACAGACACAGTGCTCCTAATAACTTGATCGAGGCGTTGTCACAAAAGGACCAGGCTGGCACACATTCAGTGTAGTCCCGCTTTAATTGTTGCATTAGATCTTGAGGGTTTTAACAGAGATAGCAGATGCCAGGAATGGATTTGTGGGTCAGTCCTCCTACTGTATTATTTGCACAGAAAACCTTAGAAAGCTCTTTGCCCCTTAGTTACCCCTTATTTAGGTTTGTTGTTTTTTTGGTTTCAGTGAAGTGCAATGGTGAAAAAAAAAAAACATGGTTTCGGGATGACAGAGGAACCTCTTTTTCTATTGGCCCTGAAATTTCAAGGTGCAGAATTAAATTACACTCTGCCTCCATGTGAGTTTAGAGGACTGGACAGAGACGACTTACCCAGCATCCTGTGCTTCATGCGCTCTGATGATTGACAGCAGGTTATTGGTCTGTAGGAACTCGCACACTGCTGGATAACTGAGCACCGAGGAGAGAAGCACAGTGGAAATTTGTTCAGTAGGAAGAAATGTTTTGGGGTAGGAATACAAAAGAGGGTGGATAAAAGCCATCTAACGTGAGAATGTGCTCCTATAAGGTAACATGGCGACTGAACTATGAACACTGATGAAAGCATTTTAAATGAAACAGTGGGTGATGACAAGGCCTCTTGTGTTCTAATGCAGAGTCTGACAGAGACCAGCAGGGGGTATCAGGGAGGCCAGACAGGCCTGTGCAAGGCTTATGCTGCCTTGGTGCTGTGGGAGCTGAATGCACACTATTTGGTCGATTGAAGCTGTGTCTCCTAAACATAGAAAATGAGCGTGTGCACCACATAGAACCTGTCAAAACACAGACTTCCAAACACGAGGAACGCAATTGCAACCGCAGCGACTCCCCATCTGTTTCTCAGCCGCAGATCCTCGTTTCGAGATTTGTTCATTTTCATTTCTATCTTTCATCTTCTCCCCTAACACCACCATGATCAGCACCCTCCTCCTATGATGCTGTCCCTCATTCTCCCACTGTATCTTAATATCACTCCATATCTGGCAGGACTAGCCAGTTGTCATAGCAACAGAACCGTGCAGTCTCCCTGGGGATTGTGGGATATCTTTTCATGCTGAAACTAAAGTGTGTGTATGTGTTTGTGGACATGTCATGTTTGTGTGTTGGCTTGCATATTCATTGTGTATTTTTTTATGTGTGTATGTGTGTGAATTGGCTTTTTCTGTCTCTGGGACAAATCCCAATGATTGTCAGTGGTTCTTACGTGTGGTGTAACTGTGCAGATCATGACTCTCTGTCCATCCTCTTATCGCCAGCATCCCAAACTAACAGCCTTGAGTCCACGTAAAACTTATTTGATTTTTGGTTTGCAGCTAGGCACTACATTTCACCCATCAAAACACAGCGTCTGAGCCGAGATACATGTTTCTCCGCAGCTCACTTAAAAAAATACTGCACAGTATTTTTCTCGGAATGTCTAGTTACCTAATAGATGTGAGCTTCATAAACATAGAGATGCTACATTACTTTCATGAAGCTGAGGCGGATTTTTCTTCTGAAATGCGTTATATTTACTCTTTTCGTTTTGATGAGTAATTTAATCCTTCCATACCTGTAGAAATATGAGCATCCTCTGACTGTATTGTGCCCAAAGTACTCCTGGGTTTTCTCGTTGCCAAAGTCTTCCAGGGGGTCGGCCCACAGCAGGTCGCACATGGGCCCAAATGCTGGGGGCTCCTTGAACCGGTCCAACTAGGACATACAACAAACACACAAACCATCAGCAACACAAGTTTAATGGAAACACTCACACAAATGCAAAAAACCCCACACAAATACACGCAGAAATATGTGGTACACTTCTGTGCAATACACACCTTTTTCAGAAATGTAAACCACATACAACCCCATAGCTACGTACAGCATAAATGAGAGGGGAAAGAAGGGAGAAAACACACACACACAAACAAACACTCACGCATACTGTCAGAGCAGAGCATCTCCATGGTAACCCACACCACACAGGAGGGAGAAGATGTCACACCAGCACATTCACCATGGAAACGCTGCCATTAGACAGGGAGGTGTGTGTTCATGTGTGTGCCTTTGTATTCTGAGATGCTGGGAACTGTATACATTCATCCGAGGTTTCTTCCACTGGTTCAGTTTTGTAATAATTTGATGGTGTCAGAGAGCATGCACAACAGTTATTGTATGTTCATGGCTGCTTGTAGGTGTGTTTTAATGGGTCAGCCATGTCACATTAATGTTTTTATTACTATCATTAGTGTAGCCGAACATAAAGAGCAGTTAGCAGTGGGGCTGCGAGAGCCTGCTTAGCGGTGTGACAGGCAGATAGAATGTAGTACCCTGTACACTGTCTTTTTATATGGCTTGTGTTCTTCTGGTTCTCTTTTGCAAAAAAACATAAAAATAAAAAAAATTCACACACAGACAGACGTTTCAATTTCCTATTCATATTGTACACTTTGGCACTAGAACCACTGATAGGAAGAGAATGTGACAGACACCAAACTTCTGGACCCGGCAGCTCGACATCAGTAAAGAATGAAAATCAAAGAAAAAAAAAAAAATACAGGACAAATACATGTAAGTAAGATGGAGCAGCACTGAGCCAAAAAACCTTCTTTAGCTCTGAGGGAGGAATTGGGAAATTTACTGTTGAAAGTAGAAAGCAGACACACAGCCAAAAAAAGCAATAATGAATAAATGTTGCACTACACATCACGACAAGTCCTTTCTTCCACTCTTTTTCCCCATTTAAAAAATATATATAATTCAGTTCAACATACAGTTCCTTGACTTAATACTAAATCTGTGCGTTAATAGTAGCACGACTAGAACATTTGAATGGATTGCTGAGTGTACAGGGCAGATTCTCAAGTCACTTTTATGGAAGGAGGGTGAAATTTCAACCTTAAATGAGCAGAGAACACTTTCGAAGTGTTATTGGCTGTCTCTGAATTACATCTACTGTATGTTGCCAAGCTGGATGGTTTTCTTGTTCCATTTTAAATGTCAGTCAGTTGTCAGTCAAATGTATATAAAAAATGGTTTAAAAAGCCCTCATTGGAATGCTGCCAAAGTTTGGCCTGCTTCGTGTTGTTGAAGAATTCAGTAATTCAGCACAATTTTCACCATGAAATAATCTCAAATCATCTTAAATGTTATATAAACACACATTGAAAAAAACAAAATTCAAATTCAGTCTAATTGCACCATTAACTAAACTTTGACCCTATTCATAGACACTACCTTTTATCCTTATACTTTAGAAATATTAAGTCTTGTACGTGTGTGGTCCTTTTTGTACCTTTTTGATGTCGTCCAATGTGTGGATTTCTGGTGATAGCCCCCCATGCACGCACAGGAACTGCTGATTCATCAGAGCTGCCAAGGGCAGGCAGTCAAACGCCTCCATGCAGGAGTCATACACCTGTTCTGAATACTTGATCTTACCTGGATGTTGGAGCAGTGAAAAGAGATTTCAAGACTTAAGACAAAAGTGTCAGAGTGTCTTTTGGCATGCTTTGAACGGCAAAAGTACAGTCAGTCTCTGTTTCTGTGATGTGCACATATCGCACCATAACACACTGCAACAAGGAGATGTAGAGAGCAAACAGACATCTAGTTTCTACATGGACACATCTGAAGAATTCAGACATCTAAAGGCTTCAAACAGGCTTGTAAAACACCATTAAGTTCACTTGGATATTAACTTGTGTTATTCTTTTATTTAGTTGTTCTTTTTCACATGAGACAAATGAAGGGGAAAAGTGCAAAGTAAGTACTCAATCTTACGCTACATTTAATTTTACTGTAGGAAAGGAATGGAGGACGAAAATGTTATACACAGAAAGGGAAAAGGTTGATCGGAGGAGGAGGAGGAGGAGGAGGAGGAGGAGGAGGAGGAGATGCCATCAAAGTAAGGGGATTATGAAGAACCAGGAAAAAGGAAGATGGTCAAATGTGAGGATGGGAAAGCGGCAGGGCAGCAGTGTAAAGTAGCCAGCATTTTTCTATGTGTGTTTTCATGTGTGTGGCAGAGAAGAGAGTGTTTGTCAACTCCTCCATCTGCCTTGTATAGAGCAAGAGCTCATTACTGCCAGTCCACCAGTTGTCAGCTCCTTCCACACTCTCAAACATTTATGAAGACACTTGCACATGCAAGAAGTCACAGTACACGCACTTGCACACACTTGTCGTACACGCTAAAACACACACACAGCAGATGGTAATTGAGGGCAACCACTATTCGCCATGAGCACCGGGGGAAATTAGCTTCCTCGTCCCTTGGCCAATCAGACACAGAGGAGCAAGTCCCTGAGCCAATCATTAAGGGCCAAATTAATTTGGTGCTAATCACCCACTCTCAGACAGGATGCTGAAACTCACTGGTGGACGAGTCAGAGAGAGAGAGAGAGAGAGAGAGAGAGAGAGAGAGAGAGAGAGACTGATGCAGGGAGGAAAAGACCCTGGTGGAGGAGAAAACAAGATAGCAGTGTAGGAAAGGAAAACTGCCAAGAGCAGAAAAGGAAGAAGAGGGAGGAGGATAGGTGGGAGGGAATTGTAGGTTCTAATCAAAATACTTATAGATAAATAATATTGAAACATGCACTTAAGGTTACGCTTATCTAAAAGAAAAAACAGAATGTGGAAGAAGGATGCAGGATGAAAAAATATTTGGAGAAAAGTATACAATGGTTAATCTTTCATAAAAAGCCAAATCTGCAAGTGCAAACAGTGTGGTGGTAGTATTTAACTTGCCATTTAACTACCAAAGTTTCATGGCAACAACAGTTGCATGCTTTACATGACAGAGGTAAGCATTAATAATTTAACCACTCCCATCAAAAGTTGATATTTTTCTAAATACACAACATGTTTGTCTGTCCTAAAACACTCAAATTCATATTCTCGAAGTCAGTAACCCACCCAGTTAATGTAGATATGGTGTATATTAATACACCTACTCTCATTCATTGTTTTTAGACGGGGGTTTTAATTTACCAGATAGGTGAGCAAAAATAGGAGTCATGGCCCCCGAGGACCTGTAATGGATGTCCCTTATTTTATATTGAAAAGGTCACGATCCAATGTGAAGCCGTAACAACAAAGCAGGGAGAAAGTATGGCGAGTTTAAGAAGGAAAAAAGGCATGACTCACATTCTTGTTTGAAGGTGAAATATTCTGTAAGATGTCTACATTCATGGTTTCCCCGTAGAAGAAAGAGTGTCTTTGGGTAGAGGATTTTCAGTGACCAAAGGTACAACACACACTAAAAAAACAATATGGAGAGAAACAAAGAAAGGGATTAGATATAAGGAACTTTACATTTACACAAGCACACAGCATAAAATAAGGTATTTTGGCATTGTAGATACATAATAATGACCAGTGAAAACTAACTTACACTATATACTCTACTCTAAAATAAGTTAAGCTAAGGTCAGCGAAGCCAAACTCAGATTTTGGTAAAGCTTCAGCTAAAATTAGTCTGATTGATCATGTAATTCCTGAACGTTTTTTTCTTTTGTTTTTTAATGGAGACTTTACTTGGGAATTAGCTAATTTTTCATGTTTCCTTACCACTCTGAGGAAAGAGAAAGTGATAACCACTTTTGCTTGAAGACACGATTGCTAATATCAAGCAAAGTTGGACTTTTTCCCTTTTGCCTCCCCTCATTAATCTCAAACCACAGAATTAAAACTCAATACAGAATCACAGTCACATTCAATGTTACAAGGGATAACTTACATGATTAAAGAAGCTTGGGGTGAACTCGATCTTGTGGAAGCACACAAACAGCATTTTGGCAAGAGCCTGTCTAACTGGTGAACAAATAATTAAAAACTTGTGCAGTGTCTGATATCTCTATTACCCAACCTGTTTTCATATTTTACACTTGGTTAACCCTAAACTCAGAGGATTTTGTCAAATTAATGTAATATCATCCCTGCTCTACATATAGTCCCTTGCCTGTCCTTGAAAATATGTAAGGAACTTGGCCTAAATATTGCTCCCTCTGCTCCATGTCCATCCTCCCAAGGTTTTTCAATAAGATATCAAGTAACACAGCTTATCTATTGTGGGATTCCGCCAAAGTCACCACCAAAATTCACTCACTGGAATCACATCTGTTTGGATCATTCAATGCGAAAACTGTACAATCTCCATTCAGCTTCCTTATATTTTACAATCATCAGCGACTTACAGGTACATTACACCAGTGTTTCCAAACCCTGGTTCCCAGGGTACATATTTCTTCATGTTTTCCATATTTCCCAGCTCGAGCAAACCTCATTCAAATGAATGGATCAACCTTTTAAGCTCTGCAGAAGGATGATGAGGATATTTTTCATTTGAGCCAGGTGTGCTGGAGCTGGGAAAGCTAAAGAACATCCAGGACTGTGGGTCTGACACAAACAGCGCGTAGTCGGTGTTTGTATCAGGTTCCTTTTGTGCAGTTATAACACATTACACACAGCACTGCATACAGCACAGTGTTGTAACTGAATACCTCAGTATTGATGTAAACCTTGCCCCTGGAGAGTGCAAATTTGACACTGGGAAAGTACACCACTGATACCATTTTAGTTGTACACAATAAATTTACAATACACTGAGTGTGGAGCTTTTCCCTGCGAGAGAGAGTACACCCAATAAGATGAGATAAAAATAGAGATGTGTCACACAGTGGGCACTGAACTGGATAATGCGCCCATCCTCACCTCAATACTGAAGTAGCCCCTGTCCACATAGTCCCCTAGGAAGAGGTAGCGCGTGTTGGCAGGAGAACCTCCCACTTCAAATAACTTCATCAGGTCAAAGAACTGGCCGTGGATATCTCCACACACTGTGGAAATAGCACACAACAGAGGTTGGTTTGTCAAGACCACAGTTTCAACATTCAACAAATTAACATTTGAGATTCTTGTGTTCTGCTTCAGCAACTCCATATGGCCTGATTTGCATCTGCAGAGGTGTATCTGTCCCATCTGCTGATCTCGAAACATCATTCATTTGTCCAGTGAAGATTTAAAAAAACAACAGACTATGAGTCTGAATATCCTATGAAAGAATGAGTTCCAGCTATTTTGTTAGCTCAGTTTAAATAATGCTTCAAAGTAAAGGAATGTGCTTAGGCAAAAGACAAGAAAAGTCCCTCTTGAATCTATAACAATTAGATTTGACGGTTTTCATGTAGGGCGGCACGGTGGTGTGGTGTGGTGGTTGGCACCATCGCCTTGCTGCTAGAGGGTTCTGTGTTTGAGGCCCTGGGGGAACCAGGACCTTTCTGTATGGACTTTGCATGTTGTCCCTGTGTTTGCATGGATTCTATCTGGGTTCTCTGGCTTCCTCCCACCATCCAAAACCTGCATGTTAGGCTGATTGGACATTCCAAATTGCCCTTTTGAGTGTGCGTGGTTGTTTCTCCTTGTGTGTCTTTGTGTGGCCCTGCGATGGACTGGTGGACCATCCAGGGTGTACCCTGCCTCTCACCCATTGACTACTGGGTTAGGCTCCATTCCCCCCACAACGCCAATAGGAAATAAGCGGCACAGAAAATGGATTCATGGGTTTTCGTGCAGATTTGCTTTTTTGTATTGCTTGTATTTGCATTGTTGTAGTAGCTGCTTAGGATATGCAGCAGTTTTTAGACAATAAATTAAATCTTCTCTTTTAAAGTTTTACTCCACACTGTGCGACATGAATTTTCTTGTGTGTGATGATCAAGGTTAAACAACTATGCTCGCAATCACAGTAACCAGACATTGGCATCCTTATATCAAAGTAGCTGAAGAAATAGCCACCAATTTTAAATACAAATTTTATTTATTTTTCCACACAGAGACGGAAAAAAGTCATATCAATCCATCTGTTTTCAAGGATCTTCTACTAGATTTTTCAGTAGAAACGGATTTCTCAATCCCTTTTTCTGTGCAGGTTTGGATGCTGCGCTGCTGGAAGGACTATCTGCATAACCATGGAAACAACAAAAATTTGTTAACCTGCTGGAGAGGCTAACATCACTTTGCAAAGTGCTAGAAATACTGAGTAAAAGATCTCGAATCAAGAAAAATTAAAGACGAGACGTCCAGCATACAGAGCAGTAAGAAAACAAAGGTGAAAGAGTAAAACCATTTTCATTTCTAGATTAAATAGGCAGAGAGAACAGACAGAAAGGTAAAAGTAAAGGAGGTGGATTAGGAACCTCTGCACCCCAGATGTTTATGTGTTGACTGTGAGTACCTTTTCCACTCTGGACAGCTTGTCACAGGAGTGGAAAAACCATCTGATCAAATATGTTAACTGAGTTCTTTTTTGTTTCTTTTATCCAGAATTTCTGTTTTGCTATCATTAACATAAAAAAGCCTGTCAGCAAAGGTACTTCCATTTGAATCCATTAATTGCATCACTGGATGGCAGGAAATTCAATATCCAGGTATGTACAAAACAAAAAATAAAAAACAACAAAAACAAGCTGTTTCAACAACAGCTGTGAGACAATTCAGGACTTTTTTTCTAAGCTTTTTCTTGATGGGAACCCATGGCTGCTTTACAATAGCCAGACTTATGTTTGTGACTATGTTTCCAGAGATGTTTTTCAGTTTGGCTCTTCCAGACTACAAGGCTGTGCATGGGGAACTTTTCACATTTTTAAAAACTTGAATCTTGTCTGTCCGTATGATCTGCCAGCTTCATCTTCTGCCTGGTCTCTCATTTCACTTTATATCTTAGACCCCCCCTCCCATTTTACACCTTTCTGTCTGTCCTTATCTTTTTGCCATGTCAGTGAGTGTTTCTGTTGTTTCTCGTCATAAAGTTGTACTCGTGTTTGAAGTGGAAAAGGGGAATGGAAGATGGCATGAGTGAAACTGAGCTGTCTATGGCTCATCAGACCTGTCGGGTCCTTCCAAAAGCCCTGTTGTGACATACTAAAAGCCTGTCAGATTTCATTTTAGGCCTTAGCCTGCACACGTCTATCTAGGAAGATGTAATTGACTGCATAAAAGTGTTGAACAATAATAAATATTTAATTGACATGTAAACCTAAACCTATATGACACCATTTTGCGATAGCTGAATCTCTGAAAATCATTCGACTTTGTTTTCCTATCATAGCATACTGAAACTTTATATTTGTTCTGGGGTATTCTTAACTTCATGTTTCCGGGTCAGAGTCTCGAGAAAAAGAGGAACCTAGCAACAAGGATCAATAAGTTGCTCATTGGGAGGGAGCAGGTTTGAGAACCTGTGCACTAAGCTGCTTATGATCGACTGCATCTCCATCTGCCCGTCTATCTGTCCTTGTCCCCAGGGATCTGTACCTGTGAAAGCTGAGCGATGTTCCCACAGTGCGTGGGCGTAGCAACCCACGCAGAATTATCTCACTGCTTGCCTTTGCATAAACACACACACACACATCAGCAGCCCGCATAGGTACATTACCCAAGCAAGAGTCAATAGGTTGTGAATGTCTGAGCCCGCCTGCCTGCTTGTCTATCTTCCCTGCCCTGTTTTCCATTTAGTTCACCATTGATCAGAGTCTCCCCCCTTCCACATTATGTTCAGTTGATACCAGGGAAGGAAATACATGCAGATATTACCAAAGCCAGTGCCTGCTATTTTGAGGTACCAAAAGTACCAAATGGTTCTCTTGGTCTCTGTTTGATCTGTTGCGACCAAACAGAAGTTGTTTTTTAAAAAGGTGGCAGATACACAAGGCAGATTAACGACTCAACGACCAGATTCTGAACAACACATAAGCTCTTATCTTTCTGCCATTTGCTTTACAGCTCAAGTGCTCTTTGACTTTTTTTTGTTGCCATTGGTCTTGTCTCTGTGAAGCTCACTTGTCACTAAGTGGCACATTGAAATGATAACATAGCAATTAGCCTATTCAACAAACTGGGAACAGAAAATGCTAAATAGAAAAATGTTTTATAGTGCATTAAGTATAAATCTGATTAATCTCTTTGCAGGATTCATTATAAGGGCCGTCGTTAGGGACTAAAGCCATTCATTTTCAAAATACTAAAGCTGAAAAATTGCCTTGAAAAGGATCTGCAGTGGGATAGCAGTAAAATAGATACAGACTCTTAATCAACCAAAGTAGTTGCTCATTAGCACGAAGAGTGAGTTAGCATAACGTGAAGCAGGCCAAAAACGTCATTGCAATGAGTTTCTGACAGGTAGATGATGAAAAAGGTAGTCCATCACTTTGTGTATATCTGTGGACTAATGATTAACCGGAAATAGAGTAATCGTATAATCAAAGGAAGGTGTCTTTCTGTAAAATAAAATTAAAACATGGTATGTAACAAAAAATATTCTGGAGGATTTTCTGTGCAAATGGGAAAGAGCTTAAGGCCAGCTCTAAATCTGAATCTAGTATGTGAACATCAACTCCTAAACTGCTTTCACAGTAGAATTTGGTCACTCTGGAAACTGTTCTATTGTCTATGTTTTTGGAAAATATCTATACGTCCTGGAAGATTATAAGGCCCAAGCAGGAACATGAAAATTTTAACTTTAAAGAAAAAACAGTTATATCTTGTAAAAACACAGATGATTAATAACAGCAGCAAACATGTTAATTAGTCCTAATTTTCAGGCTATTCCCCAAACTAAGGTTCACCATGCAGATATGTCATTCTTATGACTCTGACATCATTTTTAGTTAACCCACTGCTCTATTTTCTTCAAACAGTTCTTTTCACTTTTGGATTCAAGATCACTTGTGCTTACCCGTGACTGGCGCCTCAATATCCAGCATAGTGCGTTCCTGACGCAGGATGGCGGCGCCCTCATCGATGATGCGTAGAGCCACGGCCTCCTCAAGTCGGCCCTCCTTGGTGAGGTGAGCTTTGAGCAGGTCCACCCGCGGCCGGCCTTCCGCGTCAAACACCTCCTTCATAGTCAGCCGGTGGGCCAGGGGGAAGGGGACCGCTGAGATCAATAACAGAAAAAGAAGAAAGGATGAGACACATCAGATATTTGTTAAAAGTGGAAAATGTCTTAGGTATGGGTGTATAAAAATGGATGGACGCTCTGGATGAAATGTTGAGAACTAACACTGAAAAGAAGCAAAGACTTTTCACTGTAATGTGGGAACTTTTTAAAATTTGTATTAGTGCCGCTTGTATTGTCCGGTAAGCTAACTCCCAATCATTGCAATCTCTAAATCTGTACCACTGCCCTTATCGCACCTCTGGCTTTCTGTTCATGTGTGTTTGTTTGGGAATACATGTATGGAGGTCTGTGCATGTTGAATTTAAGCAGGGGCTGCCAGAGTTATCAGCACTGCCTGCTTCTGTTCTGCAGTAATGTCTTTCTTACATAATGAAGGCCCCCAGGGCACTGCTGGGGAGGGGGAGGGGGGTCGGACTCACGATGGGGGTGATACAGCAAGAGTGCACAGCTGCACGTGAGGAGGCGCGTACACCCATGCCAAGACACACTCGACAAAGTGCACACACTTACGCAGGAGTTTTCGTCTAAAAAGCCCACAGACTTGGTGATAAGAAACAAATGGCGGAAGCAGAGGGGCGCATGCGCACCACACGTATAGCAAAATGACATTAACACGCTTGATCACACATGCATGTGTCTGCGTGAGCGAGCGGCGTAGAGCACGAGCTCATAAAAGGTATTGTTATGCAGCATCCACAGAGCCTGTTGGAGCCCCATCAGTGCTAACACAGATAATGGCCTAGATCACAAACGAAAAACTAGGACTGGCTCTCCCTCAACACGCACACTCACACTTTCACTCTCTGCCATTCAGTCTCTGTTTTGCAATCTCGCCCATTGTCCCTCCTTTCTTTCCGCCTCTTTTTCACTCATCCCTCTCTCGTTTTCACTCTCAATTTTCCTGCTTCTGTCATGTAGCAGCAGAACCTCACACTAACATTTGTGGTTGTGGATAAATTCTCACAACAACCATACAATGCTATATTGCATAATACTTCTTAAACGTATGTCTTTCAACAGTTGAGGTGGCAATGAAGTACTACACACAGAGAAAGACAACAGCTTTATGCAGTCATCACATCAACTATATTTACTTGGTGCTAAATGAGCCATTACGAGGTGCGTGAAATATATTAGCAGAATTTCCCATTTCACATTGACCTTTGTAGGTGAATGGGAAAATGTTATTGAAACAATACAATTATTGTTCCTTTGTGCTATGCTGTTTGCTGCTCAACTAAAAAATTATTTAAGACCATCTTCTATTCACAAAAAAGATGCATATTTGGCTCCCTGAAAGTTTCTAATGGCACCACAGGGTTCAGTAAGTACAGTGCTACTGCTCCCTTGACAGTTTAACGTACCTCAAGAGCACCCTGAGACGTCCCAGGACACTCAAGCTGCCAAGACAAAGGCTCTGCTTTCCATCAATTCAGAACAGTGGTTCTATGAATTAAACCCAGTTTTTGCATAAAATGCCAGGAGTGACTAATATTTCATAAAGGATTGTGCACTGCAGGTCGTCGGAGAGCACAAGCTGGTATGAGAATTACTCAGACGCTTGCGTTAAATGTGTGAATTGGTGTCGTAAAAGTATTAGCTAGCATGCGTCCTGCCCTACTGTACTGTAAGAACTCATGCTGCTCGTATGTGCACTTGTTCAACCTGTGCATGTAAAATAAAGTTCTGGTTTAAGGTAAAACCAGGGCCTCAAGTCAGTGTGTGTTTGTGTGAAAGAAAAAGACAGAGTTGAAGAGGGAAAGAGTGTGAAACTCGTAAATTGTGAGAGCAGAGTGAAAGTAGGGCAGGTATGAGAGAGAAGAGAGCAGCAGAGCTTGGGGAAAGGAACTATACTTGGGAAAACTATACTTGGTGGATAGGGAGTAAAGAGAGGAGAGGCTCTGTAACCACGCCACGAACCACCCGACAGTTAAGTGGGAACACCGGTAGATTTTACTTGAAGGTCGAGGGCAGAAGCTTGTGCATTGCAAAGAGAAATTATCCTGACATCCTTTTTAAAAGTGGTGTCACATTAGAAAGGTTTTTGGTTCAAACCTCAGCTGGGTTCTTTCTAGGCAGCCCTGTGTAATCAGAAAATCTGTAAGAGCTCTGCTTCAAACCGAACAGAAGAGACGGCCACAATAATAGAGCCCTTGCTGGGTATTCTTACATCACCTGTACCTTAACAAACAAAATAGCACTGTAATGCACCACAAAAATGACTTCCTACTGACAAGTAGGATTTAAAAGTCTTGGCCTGTACAAAAGATATTGTTTGCCATTACAGATGTACATAGTAGATACGTATTGGTGTGTTTTTGTTTTTTCTCTGTAATTTCCGACAAAGCTGGCCTGTCCCGAACTGTGTTTGTTCTGAAGAAGTCAAGATGACAAATTAGAAGCGAATTAGAAATTCAGAAATTAGACCCTTTTCGTCACTGCTGCATCCTTTCTCATCCACTTACTCACTATTATAAACAATCAAATTGAGCTCTACGACCAAGAGACCCAATGTTGATTTAACAAGTCAGTGTTCAAAGAAGGCGGCTACGTGTTATGCACTAAAAACCAAAGAGAGTCAGACATTCAGTGTTACTGCCCTCATGCATAATGGCCTATAAAACGGACATTAGTTCACATCTTCAAAGTACAGTGCAACATCAGAATTAAATAATGAGAATCACGACCCATCAAAAGCCTTAAAAAATCATTTTGCAATACTTGAATGTATACATCTGTGACCTCTATCATTTCCAACTGCGAAGTAAGTGGAATGGTAAAAACGCTGTGGAAAGCTGTGTCAACAATGGCAGTGCAGAAAGCCACAGAAACCGAACTGTTGATGTATAGAGCAGAACCTTGAGCCTTAATGTCATCATCTTGCAGGACATATATATGCAGGACACGGTGACCATAGGATGTATCTTTCTGTTAAGCATTATGTGTAATTTGGTGGGGTTGATGGGATAACACCTCAAATTTTGAGTTACAGTCCTTGTGTGAGAACACTCCTATAAAAGCAGTATGCTATTATTTTTACGCTTGGAACACTAGTAAACTTTAAGTTCGTTTCAAGCATTTAGTGGACAGGTTATGTGTTCCATCTTATCTTATCTTATCTTATCTTATCTTATCTTATCTTATCTTAT